TATCCTATTCATTAGGCACCGTGCTAGATGCTGGATGTACAAAGACATAAGTAAAACAGTTCCTGATCTCAAGGAGTTTCCATTCTAACAGTGATTGGCCAGGTTTATTATCTCCAACTCAAAATTTCCACAAAATGATCAAGATAAATGTTAATTCTGTATGCCCACCAATTTTCACTCCTGTTTAAAAAAAAAAAAGACCTTTGAGGATGTAAGTTCAGTACAATCTGCCAAGATATATTAATGCCAAAGCAAAGCAAAACAAAACCAAAAACCTCAAGTTCATAAGATTCTTTGAGTATTTGCAAAAGCATTACACATCCATGCATTTCCATGAACAAAACAGTGTAGACATGGTAGCCCAGTGGCAGTCTTAACTACATTTGACCAACCTTTCTGTCTCTATCAGTGCAGAGATGATGCATTTACTTGTGTGAACTGGGAAAGAAGCATGAATGCTAAATTTGAAATGTGCTACTAGAATTGAGGAAGTGTTAACAATTTCTGTGAAGGTATAATCTTGAAGCAAGAAAGCTAGCAGTCCTGAGATGTGTAACTTTGTCTACATCCTTCTCTCCTTATGCTTCCAGTGTCCATTTAGATGAAACAACCAGTCCTGAGATTTGTCCCTATTACTTGTGTATCTGTCCTTCATTCTTGAAGAGGACCATGACATCAGAAAGATGATGAAATGGCCTGCAATTGACTTTGATTTGAGTGAGGGAGGGCTGTGCAAGATTACCAGCTTCACTTTCTCCTCCGAAGCCATCAAGGTCCATTGATCAGGTATCAATCAGGATGACTGGAGATGGCCCAGGATGCAGTGGGAGAACTTGGCCATTTTAACCTAAGGTCTTTTCAGGTTCTCACTTTGAGTGAGACAATGCCCATTCAGTGAATAGACCTCTTTAAGAAGTGAGTCAAGGGATGGCCCCTATAATAAAAAAAAAAAATCAAACTGGGAGGAGAAGACCCTCAGGGCTGCTGGCCCAAAGAGAAACAGTTACTATTTACATTCACTCTGAGCCAGGAGGGCCCCCAAAATAACCATTAAGTGATGCTTGGGCAGGGACCTGTTGTTGTCCAATCTATGAGTTCCTGAGTGAACTGGGTTTAAGGCTTGGTGTTTGAGAGAGAAATCACTACTCACAACCTGTGAATGGTCCAAGCTGTCGGAATGGGGACCCAGCTGGCCAGTTCCAGTTGGGTAACTCAGGTCATACTCTTCTCTCCTCTCCTCTCTTTTCCTATTACCTGAGGGTGTTCTGCCCAAAGGAACATAAATTTTGATGGCCAAAAGCTACCTACTTAACTTGGGGTTTACTGGCTAGATTTATCTCCCTATGAGTAGTGGATTAGGGAATTAAGAATTTGGGCTTTGTTTTATCCCATAACAAGTCATCCTCACAGTGTTTTGTCTGCTCTTCTCTCTGAAGCTTATTTTTTAAAACATATGGGATAGTTACAGGAATCTGGGCCTTGACCTAAAATACAGTATGAGTTTCCTAATTTTCTTCCAGTCCTCAACTGGCATTTGTAGTTTGCTCCTCACTTTCGGCATTATCTCCAAAGATTTGTGAATCCTCAACACAATGTCCCTTTTCTCTTCTTTCTGAACTCTGGTAAGAGTCCCCTTTGGTTTCAGCTAGATTTTGAGAGTGGAAAGATGTCTAAATAGCACAGCTAAAGACAAGAAGTATAAATTGTAGCACATCCAATCTTTAAGTTATGAGTTTTGACCTGGAGAAAAACATTTCTAGCCATGTACCAATAAAAAATCAAAATCCTGAAACATTAGTACTAATGCTCTTTGAGGAAAGATTGGGTTGAATGCAGGTCTAGTTTTGAATAAGTAGATACCTGAAGAGCAGAACAAAATCAGAAAAAATAGAAGAGGGGGCACAGACAAGATGGCAGAGTAAAAGCAGTGACTTACTTGAGCTTTCCCCCAAACTCCTCCAAATACCTGTAAAAAATGGTTCGAAACAAATTCTAGAGCAGCAGAACCCACAAAAAGAGAGTGAAACAAGTTTCCAGTCTAAGACAACCTGGATTGTTGATTGGAAAGCTTCTATTGCTCCGGGCTGGGAAAGGACCACAGTTTAACTTGGACGTGCAGGCAAAGACCAGGCCTCAATGAATCTGGAGCAGTCCTCAGGGAACTGAACCAAGGGCAGTTATGGCGGTTTCCAGACTTCTCAACCCACAAACATGCAAGACAACTTAGAAGGTCAGTAGGAAAGGTCTGTTGGACTTCAGTGAGAGAGGAGCTCGAGTCCGGCCTCAGTCCTGGTGCAGTGCCAGGGCGGTGGCTGCTTCCAGAGCTTCAGGCCCACAGACTGAGGGGGAATTGAGTGGCTGATCAATGGGGGATTGCAGAGATCTCTTTGCTGGTGTTGAGGCAGGATTCTCTTGCTTTGCTTGTGCTTGGATCTGGATTGCAGTTCTGGGTGGTGGTTCTGGGGCAAGGAGGAGCACTGGAGTGGCGGAGCTTGTGGTGGTGGTGGTGAGGAGAAAATCCTCCTCACAGTTCCAAGGCAGAAAAGAGTGCTTGCAGTCACTCATAGACCAGAGCACAGACCAGGAAAGGAGCAAACACTTCTCCTTAGATCATACCACCTTGGAAGAACTGAAAATTTATAGGTCCCTAGAAGCATCTCTGAAAACAGATGCACAAAACCCCCAAAGCTTGGGACAGTACATTCTCCACACTGGAAGCAGACTCTTACCTTAACAGAGTTTAAAACTCAAGTAATTGGCTGGGATCATAAGCAAACTGTGCAAAAAAAAAGTCAGACCATAGAATCTTACTTTGGTGACAAAGAAGATCAAAACATACAACCAGAAGAAAACAAAGTCAAAGCTCTTACATCCAAAGCCTCCAAGAAATATATGAATCAGTCCCAGGCCTTGGAAGAGCTCAAAAAGGATTTTGAGAAGCAAATAAGAGAAGTAGAGGGAAAACTAGGAAGAGAAATGAGAGTAATTCAAGAAAATCATGAAAAACAAGTCAGCAGCTTGCTAAAGGTGACCCAAAAATATACTGAAGAAAATAATACCTTAAAAAATAGCCTAACCCAAATGGCAAAAGAGGTCCAAAAAGCCAATGAGGGGAAAAATGCCTTCAAAAGAAGAATTGGCCAAATAGAAAAGGAAGGCCAAAAGCTCACTGAAGAAAATACTTCCTTAAAAATCAGAATGGAGCAAATGGAAGGTAATGACTTCATGAGAAATCAAGACGTTGTAAAACAAAACCAAAAGAATGAAAAAATTGAAGACAATGTAAACTATCTCATTGGGAAAACAACTGACCTGGAAAATAGATCCAGGAGAGAGAATTTAAAAATTATTGGACTATCTGAAAGCCATGATCAAAAAAAGAGCCTAGACATCATCTTTCAAGAAATTATCAAGGAAAACTGCCCTGATATGTTAGAACCAGAGGGCAAAACAGAAATTGAAAGAATCTACCAATCTCCTCCTGAAAGAGATCCCCAAAAGAAAACCCCTAGGAATATTGTAGCCAAATTCCAGAGTTCCCAGGTCAAGGAGAAAATATTGCAAGCAGCCAGAAAGAAACAATTCAAGTATTGTGGAAACACAACCAGGATAACACAAGATTTAGCGGCTTCTACATTAAGGAACCAGAGGACTTAGAATATGATATTCCGGAGGTGAAAAGAGACAGGATTATAACCAAGAATCACCTACCCAGCAAAACTGAGTATAAGTCTTTAGGGGGAAAATTGGATATTCAGTGAAATAGAGAACTTTCAAACATTCTTGATGAAAAGGCCAGAGCTGAATAGAAAATTTGACTTTTAAATACAAGACTCAAGAGAAGCACAAAGAGGTAAACAGGAAAGAGAAATCATAAGGTACTTATTAAGATTGAACTGTTAGCATTCCTGCATGGAAAGATGATATTTGTAACTCATGAGACCTGTGTCAATATTAGGGTAGTTGGAGGGAAAATATAGACATAGATATAGAGATAGAGATAGAGATAGAGATAGAGATAGAGATAGAGATAGAGATATAGAGATAGAGATAGAGAGAGAGGGCACAGGATAAGTTGAAGAAAATATCTAAAAAATAAAATTAAGGGGTGAGAGAGGAGGAGGAGGAGAAAGGGAGAGGTAGAACGGGGTAAATTATCTCACATAAAACCAACAAGAAAAGGCTTTTACAATGGAGGGGAAGTGGAGGAAGGTGAGAAGGAATGAGAGAATCTTATTTTCATCTGATTTGGCTTAAGAAGGGAATAACATACATACTCAATCGGGTATGGAAATCTATCTTACCCTCCAGGAAAATGGGGGGAAGGGCATAAGAGAGCCAGGGGATGATAGAAGGGAGGGCTGATTGGGGGAGGGAGTAATCAGAAGCAAACACTTCTGAGGAGGGACAGGGTTAAAAGAAAGAATAGAATAAACAGGGTGGGGTGGGATAAGATGAAGGGAAATATAGTTAGCTTTTCACAACATGACTACTATGGAAGTGTTTTGCATGACTACACATGTATAACCTGTATCGAGTTGCTTGCCTTCTCAATGAGGGTGGGTGGGGAGGAAGGAAAGGAGAAAATTTGGAACCCAAAGTTTTAAAAACAAATGTTAAAAATTGTTTTCACATACAACTGGGAAATAAGATACAGGCAATGGGGTACAGAAATCTATCCTGCCCTACAGGAAAATAGAAGGGGAAAGGGGATAAGAGAAGGGGGGAGAGATAGAAGGGAGGGCAGACTAGGGGAAGGGGTATACAGAATGCATGCCATCTTGGGGTGGGAGGAGGGATGAGATGGGGAGAAAATTTGGAACTCAAAATCTTGTGAATGTGAATGTTGAAAACTAAAAATAAATAAATTAATAGATGTTTAATATTAAAAAAGATTAGAGAAATTAAATAGTCATAATTGAATTCAGATCATGCTAGGTAAGGAAATACCATACAACCTTTGGGAATAAGATTGACATTGTCATAAAGAATAATCTTACCTTTGAACAAAATGTGATTCATCAGAACAAAGACTGGGACAGGGTCAAGACCTTGGGCCAAATCTGCAATTTCCTTTTGAGTCACCTTTTCTGTGGAATCATTAACCTGCTTCAAGGCCCCTGAAATTGGCAAAAAAAAAAAGGCACCTGACCCATATAGCATCTTGGTGTCTCCCCAAAACTTCTCAACAAATTTTTGTCATCTTCAAACAGAGATGATGTTGTTCGTAGTCAGGTAGAGCCTGTTGCTGAGGTGCTTGAGGGCATGGATGAGATGCTGGAGGCTCTGATGGAGTCAGACCTTTGAAATCTAAGGGAGGTTGAATCCTAGACACTCTAGGAGTTGAATGTTAGTGTCCAACTGGTCCCTGAGGGCTGGTAGCCTACAGGAGGCAGAGATGCTAGCTCGGGAGAAAAGAGCATCCGTCATACTGGATTTGGAAACTGCTTGTAGAAAAATCAATGTGACTTGAAGAGTAGGAGGGAAGGCTTCATGGAAAGGGCTAGACCTAGGGTCATAACTGGGTTGGCAGAGAGGAAGGGGGAAGATAGTGCAAGAAGGGGGAGAGCACTAAGCAGGTTATTCAAGATCCTGTAGCAGAGTAGGATGGGGAAGATTTATCCCCTGAGTGACTGCACATGCTGTCATGTTCCCTCCTAGGATGATGTCATCTGCTCCAACACTGTGGCTGCCACTGGCCAGACTGTGGGCTCTGGCCCCAGGCCATATATCTCAGAACCTCCAGCATATCAGCCTCCATGATACAGTCACCACTCAACAAAGCCCCAGGAAGGAGAACTTTACAGGCAGCAAAACAGCCTCTGATTCAGCCGATTTTGCTTTCACTTTCTACAAGCAGTGAGTACTCACCTGCGTATCCTTAGATTTGAACCTGAGTCTTTTCACAAGGTAGGCTATTTTTGTTTTTTCATTGGATGAAATGGACTAGAGTTGAATCAGTACTATAATCAAGTATGAGATTGTGTGCTAGAGGCTTTAAATGCTAAATGATTTCAGAGGAGGGAAAAATCCTAGAGGACCTGACAGTCTAGCAGGGGAGACGATATCAAGTCACAAATCACTACTCTACCAAATATAGTAAAAATGAATAGGAGAGGGACAAAGTGCTTCCATGTCCCAGGATGGATTCTTTCCAGTTTGGGGGGAAGATGAAAAACTTGATGGAGGAAGCGGCACCTGAACTTGGTCTTTAAGAATAGATGAGATTTCAGAGTATGGTTAAGGGCCACGGAGAGGGGAGGAAAGGGTTAGAAAACAAGGTTTGGGATGAACCCTTGGCTCCTGAATCGTGGGAAAAGGGGGTCCCCCTGGCGCCAGGAAATAGAAGTAGTCTAGGGGACAGGAGACTTCAGTTCCCATTCTGGTTTTACCATTTATTAGCTGTGTGCCCTTGGGCCAGGAATGTCCTGGGTCCTATTCTACTAAAAAAAAAAAACCAGATCGTTAAATCTTCAGTGTGAGCATTTATACTTTAGAGTTCCACAAATGCTACAAATAAATTCTTGATTTATTGTTGTGTTGATTGTCTAGACTTAAGAAAATGATGGGGCAAATGTTAATAATGAAGATTAAACTTAAATCTGCGTTCTGCATACATTTTTAAGGAGGAAAGAAAAGGGCAAAAAGGAATACACTAAGGAAAAAGTGAGGAAGAAGGCCAAGGAGAGATCATTTAAAATCATTAGATTCCCTGAAAACCATGATTTTTAATTTTTAAAAAAGTCTGGACAGTATATTTCAAGAAACCACAAATGAAAACTAAATATATTAGAACTAGAGTGCAAAGCAAAGATAGAAAAAAATTTACTGATAATCTCCTAAAAGGAGCCCAAAAAAAGACAGGTCCCAGGAACGTCATAGCCAAAATCCAGAGTTCCTGTACCAAAAAAAAAAAAATGCTACAAGCAACCAAAAAGAAAAACCAGAGGAGATCTTGGAATACAATATTTCAACTGGCAAAAGAGATAACTTATAACCAAGAATATAACTTGCCCTGCGAATCTGAGTATAATACTACAGGGGAGAAATGGATTTTTAATGGAACAGGGAGCTTTCAAGCATTTCCTGTTGAAAAGATGAACTTTGAAATGTAAACATAAGAATCCAGAGAAACCCAGAAAAGTAAATTTATCTGAGCAATTAAAAGGAGCTGTGTGATGATGTAGTGTCCACATTCTAAAGGGGGAGAAGAAACTAGTGTCCTTTAAGAACTACAATGTCTTCAAAGGATATTGAGGGAGTTAAATAAGAAAAACAGATGGAGGCAGAACAAGGTGATTGGTTCTGATCTGCAGGTTTGAAGAGGAGAAATAGAAGGGAGGGTAAAAGAAGAAATGCACTGATATAAAAAAAAAAAGAAAGAAGGGGGTTAAACTTACTCCTTCAGGTGATTGAGATGTTTGAGTATGATTATACAACATTGTGGAAAGGATGGGGGCTGTGGGCATCAGATGAACCTTCCATATGAAATGGAAAAAGGAAGGTTGAACCCACACAAACAATTTAGTGTAGAAACACACCAAAAGTAGCAGGGAGACAAGTGTGGGTGGAAAGGGGGGATGTTAAGAGGGAGGATGATATTAGGAAGTGAATAGTCACAAGCCAATCTATTTCTTTATCATGAAGCAGGGACTAAAAGAGGGGAAGTGAGGTGGGGAAGAAAAGAACTAGAACATAAGATGGTAGGTGCCTTAGATTACTTCTTAGACAATAAGGGAATAGTTAAACCAGTTTTGGAATATGAAAGTAATGGAATATTATTGTGCCATGAAAAATGACAAGACACTATTTATGAGAATCCTGGGTAATATAAACTAGCAGAGAAGTGAGCAGAACAAGGATAACATGGACAAAAAAAATTGTAAAGAAAAACTACTTTGAAAGTCTTTAAAACTCTGATCAAAGCATTAGCTGTATCTCCAGAGGAGCTAAGATAAAGCATGTTACCACCTGCTAACAGAGAAGGTGATGGACACAAGGTGCAAAGATATACATTTTTGGACAACACTACTATGTGGCTTCATTTTGCTTGAACATCCTTATTTGTTATAAGGGGTTCCCCCCCCACTCTTATTCTTAGTTAATATGGGATATAGGTGAGAGGGATAGAAATTGTAACATCCACCAAAAAAAGAGGGGCATTGTAATGTTTTTAAATGTATAGAGGGAAGTTCAGAATACATAAATAAGCTACACATTTCTCTCAGAAGATAGAAGATGGCAGCTTTTGGGAAGAAAGATAATGAATTTGGCTTTAGACATGTTGAATTTGTGATGTCTACTGGATATCCAATTCAAGATGTCTGAAAGGCAATTGGAGATGCAAGACTGGAAGTCAGCAGAAAGATTGGGGCCGAACAGGTAGATTTGAGAATTATCAGAATAAATTTGATAATTAAATCCATGAGAGCTGTTGAGATCACCAAGCAAAGTGCTATAAAAGGAGAAGAGAGAACAGAACCCTGAGGAATACCTATAGTTAAAGGACATGATCGGGATGAGGATCCAGAAAAGGAAACAGAGAAGGAGTGGTCAGACAGGTAGGAGGAGAACCAGATGAAAATTCACACTATATATTTCTATTGGGCTAGAACTAATCACCATATTTTCAATATAATATAATTCATATAATATATATAATGTAATTCAATATAATTTGAAATAATGCAAATTCGAATACAGAAACTGGGACCTAGCTGTACTAGCTGCATACATCAAAAGGCTGTCTGGAAGCTAGAAATCTCATAGGGCAGAGAGGAAAAGAGAGGCAGGTGTTTGCTGCACTCCTGATACCTATGTGAGTTTGGACAGTTCATTTAATCTCCGTAGGGTTCATTTTTCCTATCTATAAAGTGAAGGGGTTGATTTGGACAGTCCCTGGCATCCCTTCCAGCTCTAGATAATAGAACCTTATGATTTCTTCTAGAAGATTTCCACCTCATCTCCTGCCACTAAGGCATGGCTGCAAGGAGGAGAGCCAAAGCACTAGTATATATTGTTGGGTAGTCCGGAGGCCGGTCACGCTGTTGTGGGTGTTCACCACTGGGATGAGCGCCTTCCGAATGAGTGTTTTTGAGCTCGGGGTATATCCTGAGATTGTATATTTTAGAATTTCCCTGAAGGGTGAAAATAAGAGTGAGTGAGTTAGTGAGGAAGTTAGGAGTTTAGACCCATGTGTGGAGGCCAAGTGCCCTGAAGTTATGGTATGGCCTGAGAAGCGTGAGTGAATTCAGAAGCTCTGAAGGGAGAGGATTTGTGGCTTCAAGAACGGCGTCCCTTCTGTAGTATACATCAAAGTGAAGCTAGAAATGTTGGAAGGGGAAAAAGTTAGATTTTGTCTAGTACTACTTCTTAGTCATGGGCAGGTGAACTCACTCACTTTCAGGTGGAGGAGGGAGAGTAACATAACAAGAGAAGGTAGGCAGATAAAAATCTTTGTGGTCACTTGCAAATTTTTTGCACATCCCGTGCTGATGTCTACGGCTGTGTCAACTAGAAGCACAAGCATTTCCTCTTCTGGCTCCCCTCAATGTCTTCTTTTCTGCCTCTTTTGCTGTTCAGTTGTGTCTCTACTGAAGTGAGCTTATCTTAGCTATCAATGCATGGATAGAGCACTGGCCCTGAAGTCAAGAGGACCTGAGTTCAGATCCGGCCTCAGATCAAACACTTGACACTTACTAGTTGTGTGACCTTGGGCAAGTCACTTAACCCCAATTGCCCATTAAAAAAAAAGTTAAAAAAAAACTGTCAATGCAGAACACAGGGATTAAAACCGGTGAATCTGAATCTGAAACCCATGGCAGGGGACTCCAGAGGGTAGTTTCCTGGATTTTCATAGATAGGATTTAGAGCTGGAAGGAACCTTGGAGTCCAGCCCTCTCCTTTTAAAGATGAAGCCCAAAGGGAGAAGTGACTTACTCAAGGCCACTGAATAATAAGTGGGAGAGCTAGGATTTCAATCTAGGTTCCCTGATTTCAAATACAGCACTATTTTTACTACACCATACTACCTGCTTCATACCATACCATATTAGCAGGTTCAGACATCTTAGAATTCAGTGAAGCCACTTAAAGAAAGTTGAAAGAAAGGGTGAGACCA